TTTAAATGTTTATTGGTTTTTGTGAAGCTTTATTATTATGAACAACGTTTCTGGTACTTTCAAAGTCGTTTGTTCCGTTGTGAGTCGGGAGACAACTGCAAATTTTTGGTGAACATATATAATGAGAAAGACGACAGCTAGATGCACCGGGCCGATCACGGGATAGCAGGCTGCCTGGCAGACGGCAGCAGGGTGGTGACAAGGACGGCCACGGAGGCGACCAGGAGGGCGCACACCATCCACAACCTCAGCCACCGGAACGAGTCCTTGCTCACGGCGTACCAGAGTTCGGATGCCACCTCTCTGCCCCGGCCCCAGCACTCGACTACCAGAGTCCTGCGAATTTAGAAGGAAATAACAGGCTGATAACTGTTGTGAATTTGCAATGTCGACATGGATTCCAAAAACGAGTGAAACAAAAGCAAGACGTACAATCGGTCTAGCATGGTGTCGGGGGGACTCTGGATGCGACAGACGCCATTGGTCTGACAGTTGTGTTCCGAGTGGTGGTCCTCGTCGTCCGAGTGGTTGTGAGGCAACAGCATCGACCCCACGCCGTTCTGTCCCAGGCTCATCATCAGGCAGCTTGAAATCAGACGGGAAAGAATAAAGGTAAAGTGCACATTGTTGTCATGGCTGCGAGCTGTCTAATTAAATTGCATTCCGCTTGAAGCCGCGCTCACCTGTCGACGCACGGGGCATCCACGCCCGGCTCCGTTGCACTCTCCCGACGGCTCTCCGACAGCTCCGCGATCTCCGTCATGCACGTGTTGTTCGTGAGGATGTTGTAGACACTGCAGCAGGGAAAGAGAGAGATTACAAAACGATTACGATGAAATAAATCTCGATTTTGTTTCCAAGGCAGTACCAGAAATTTTGATAACGAAACGATGACGGATGGATATTAATATCAGATCAGAAAGTCGTCGATTTTCGTGTTGAATTAATCTTGAAATGGCCTTGATATGACACAATATCGTTTCGACATCGTTTCTATATTGTTCTGATAATTTTTTTCCATGTTGGTTTTATATTGTTTCAGTATTGTTTTGTTACCGTCTCCTTCAATTCCTCACTAGGTACTTACTCGGAGCGACTATCCCTCCGGTCGACGGGGCCGGGCGTGGCCTCGGCGGGGGTCGTGTCCAGGGCGAGGGAGACGCGCCGCACCCTGCTCGGCGCCGACCACCGGCCCGACCGCGCTTCCTGAGAGGGAGAGGAAAAGTTAGATAAACACCGCGTTTACAGAGTGTAGGTGGGTGGGTGTCGAGCTCATGGTGGTGGTCAGGTCTTTTACCTGGGCAACGCTGGTCGGGATAAAAGCGGCGGTGTCGGGCTGCGAGCCGAGCGAACCCGACTTTGGCATGGCGGCGATCGAGGCTCTTCGTTTTGTACCCTGTGTTTGAAAAGAAATAAAATAAAAATAGAGTGTGTTCAACGCTAACTTTACTTACTACAACATGCACAGCTGAAATAGATAGTGGGTGACAAAGTGGCCTTACCGCGAGCGGGTTGGTGGCAAGAGCGGACAGAGACCGGTACCGGGTGGTACGGGGCGGAGGCTCGTCTGTTGGGTCCTGCAGCTCCTCCAGCACGATATTGTTCTCAGACAGCACGCGCCTGACACACAAAATAAAAACGCCCGATTGTAAGATCAAAATAAGCAGTGCATTTTATTTAAAGAATAAAACATTTCCTTTCTAAAAACTTACTTTTTCTCCTCTAGCTCCTGGCAAAGCTTCTGATGCAGTCGTTTCAAACTCTCGACGTAAAGGTCGATCACCTCCATGGCGTGCGACAGACGGTCCTCCTGTTGTACCGCGCCGTACATCTGCAAAGTATGCATGTTAGTCTCTCATTCATTTTTTTTCTGTTTGTACAATTCTTGCATCCAGTCATTCAGTGTTAATTTACAAACCATCATGTAGCAATTGCGAAGTGGTTTTTCTCTTCGCAGCTCTTCAATTCAAGACTGTGGACGCTTTTAACATTTTGGACGTTCGTTCGTACGTACGGACGTGACGTTCGTTACGTTCGTTCGTTACGTTCGTTCGTAAGCGACGTTCGTTCGCACGTACGTTCGTATTTTACCCTCGTTCGTACGTTACGTTCGTTCGTACTTTACGTTCGTCTATTCGTACGTTATGTTTTGTTCGTACGTTCTGATCGTCTGTTCGTTTGCACGTACGTATACGTTCGTCCGTCCGTAGGTGATTGATTAATTCATTCATTCATTGTTTTACCTCTGCCGCGCTGGAGACCTGCCGGCTGGCGTGGTCTAGAGCCTCCAGCTGGGACTTGAAGCGCTCGAGCGTGTCTCCCCTTTCCGCGTCCGAGGTGGCGCGCGACAGCCGCTGCAGGCAGAGATGATAGAGATTTAATTATTT